ACTACTACCACCACCACTACCACCGTCACGATTAGTAGTACCGGTATTGAGGCTGCGGCTGCTGCTTCTTTCGCAGTTGCCACACTTTACGAAGAGCTAGCGTAAAGTTGACGTATGCTGGCACTCGGACTCTGTTCGATTGTCGTCGCGGCCAGTGCAGGGTCACCCGGACTTCGCCGTCTTCCCAACTTTTCCCATACGCTTTGGCACACTGGGGGCCGCGAGCTTCGGGACAGCCCTCCCACACAGCCTGGGTCCGCTGACGATCGATGCAGAGCGTTTCTTGGACCCTAGCCAGATCAGTCCAGCGTTTCGCAACCCTTTCCGTGCCCTTGCATGAAACGTTTGACTTGAAGCCTTCCCTGTTCATGTACACCGCAGGAGATGCACCGACCTCTTCCCACCGCCGGGATGGCACAAATCTGCTCTAGAGTCGTGGGCATTCATCCACGCCCAAAAGGGAGTTCTTTCGTCGAGTACGAGACTTTGGTGTCGGATAGCGCCGGCTTGCCGTACTGTCGCTTGGTGACAGGCCAGTATCGACGTGGCGTCAATCAGTTGGGGGACATCGAGCCATTTGAAGGTTGTGGGACCACCTACGGTACGAAGCTTACTTTTCCTTCCACACCTCCCGATCTGACCTGCGAGCAGTGGATTCCAGAGAATCAGGCCCTCATTTACCGTCTTTCCGGGGATTTCAACCCCCTGCACATCGACATGGATGCTGCGAGAATAGGAGGCTTTGACCAGCCGATTCTGCACGGACTTTGCACCTTTGGACACTGTGCAAGTATGCTTCTGGGTGCTTTCTGTGACGGAGACCCGTCACGCTTCAAAAGAATAAAGGTGCGATTCACATCTCCAGCCTCTCGGATTGCGCACTAGCGGCTGTACAGATGCATCTGTCTCTCGTCTAAGAGCAACATTGAAGAATCAAGGTCTTTATGAACAGCAAGCTCCGAGTGCACGCATGGCACGATGGCCCGGGCAGGGTGCTTTTCCAGGCGGAGGTGGATGGAAGGCAAGAGAGGGGAGGGGGCGAAAGATCCGCAGAAGCCTGAGTTCGGTGCCCCATTGTTCTGACAGGTTGGTGGTGGCCCATGCATACTTCGAGTTTGAGGAAGCACCCCGTGCTGCAAAGCTGTGATGCCAGGATGGTGAGCTGGCACCGGTGTGCAAAGGAATTTCAGGCATCTGCTGGTGCTTTCCCTGGGCCTCCCTTGACGCTTGTGCCTCCCTTGACGCTTGCTGAGCTTGATGTGGCATGACCCCAAAAGCCCCGACACTACGCCGGACATCGTCTTGGCATGCAGCCTGCGTTGCAGCCACTGAAGGACGACCATGTCCACGCCATATCCTCTATGTCAGATCCGCACTCCAGTTGACATATCTTGGACACATCCTTAGCTGCAGCAGGCGTAGAACCTGAGATGCTAGCCGAGCATGATGTAGTATGATACAACATTAAAATTTGGAAGATGTTTGCGGTTGTGATGAAGATGCTGCTGGTGGTGAAGATGAAGGTGTTTATGATCGCCCACGCCATTTGTGTGGTTACTCCAACAGGCAGCAGTATCATGAGCACTACGCCAGCGGTCTCTTGACTTTTGCTTGGAAACTCCATGTTGCTAGTCTTCGATTTCTGACTCTTGACTGCACTTCAAACCTTATATCCTTGGCCATGGCCAGCGCAACTGCGGGGCGTGCACGTTCAAGAACGCCCCCGCGCGAGGTGGGAAGGGTTGAAAGGGCCTGAAGCCAGAGCTGGGCAGTTTACGAGTTTACGGGTTCGGGTTTAGGGTGCGTGGGGCTAGGTTTCAGTGTGCCAGAGAGTCCGTGGCTTGGGTTCCTTTTTCCCCAGCACTTTCCATGCCCTGCCTTCCTTCCTTGTTGGCTACTTGTACTTGTCCAGGCCGCGAAGACGTCTGCCGTCGCCGTGGCCTTCAAGGCCGCCATAGCGGCAGCAAGTGCGCTGAAACAGCCACTCCCCTCCATGAGAGAGAGATAGAGAGAGAGAGCGAGAGAGAGAGAGAGTGAAGGAGGGAGGGGGGGGAGGGAGAAGCGATGGTCGCTGTGGCAGGCATACGTTTGTCAGAGAGTGGTTTATCAAGATGCTTCCAATAACGTGTAAGCACCCGGCAATTTCTTGGTGGCCTGTGTTTTTTGGCAGCGGCGCATGTCTCAGGAAAGTTCAGAGCAAGCTGCCATCAGCTGGGGCAGCACCCACAGATCCGGGCTCACAGCAGGCTCGACGTCATTTGCCGTCTTTCATGCTCCGACTGCCCTGAACCACCCTAAACCCCTAAACCCCCAAA